CGCCGAAAACAATCGTAGTAAAGAAAAGATGGGGATTCAAAATTTCTGTAACATGAACCATTGAAAACTAGAGAGTTGTGCCCCTTTAATTGAAAATGTGACACACTGACGTTGGCATTTATTATATAGATGTTATTAAATGACACAATTTCGGCTATTTTCCGAGGTAAGCTTTGCAACAATTTCTTTAGGATATGTGCCAAGTAATTGTTTATTTGCACTTTTTTTTTAGCTTTCTTAGCACTGGAAGCTTTTCTGGCTGCCTTTTGATCTGGGTTTTCATTTGTACCCGACGTTTTTTTACCTCGCTGCCGCCTTGGTTCTTTTGGCTGCCATCTGATCCTCTGTTGGCGGAGATACTGCTTCCGGATGCGATAGGCAACAATAAACTACAGAACTCAAAAATTGATCGCTGCATTTAAGTATTGCATTAATATCTAAGATTTTATAAGTTCAATGATAATTCATCTGCCGCTACTTAATTTAAAGATGTGATGTGATTTGATATGCGTAGGTCCTTACTTTCTGTACAAAGATCTATTTTTATTTCATGAGTGACTTTCGCTAAATTTCGCAATTAATTTCGATTATTCCAAAATTTATTTCCAAGTTATAAACATTGTTATCGTACAAAAAAGTTCCTTGTTAAAAAATCACCGAAAACAATTGCAGTAATGAAAACTTGGGAATTCTGTAACATGAGCTATTTAAAGTTAGAGAGTTGTGTCCCTTTAATTGAAAAATTGTGGCACAGTGACATTCGCATTTATTATATAGATATGTATATATAATAATATATTATGAAATGGAAAAAGTCAGACATTTTTTTATGTTTATACGTTCTTTTTATAGATACAAATATTTAAGTAAATGCTCTGTTTATAATAAACAGTATTAACAACATTTACCGGCCTTAATGTCCGAGAAATTTTCATAAAAAATATTCGTTCTCCGATAGGAATCGAACCTGTATCATAAATGGAACCATCATATAGCCTGACGTGCCCTAACCGAGTGGGCCACAGATGAGTGTTCGGTTAGCAAAGTTCGATTTTACTGTCTTTAAAGACAATTCTCCATGATTTTCTCTCGTACATTTATATCTGCTCAATGCGTATCCAAATGTAAACAAATGACGTCACATATCATGAAATGGACAAAGTTCGACAATTATTTTTTATTATAAACAGAGCATTTACTTAAATATTTGTATCTATAAAAAGAACGTATAAACATAAAAAAATGTCTTAAAAAATAATAGTATATATTAACAAAATAGACTGATTTCTCAGTTGAATATCTTTGTTTATCTTCATACAATAATTTGTTCTCAATTCTATCACTACTTGCGTGGAAAGTGCTCGGACGAACTACAGTCCTTGTTTCCGCCTGGTCTCCCCTTCATGGCTAGGAGCCGCCATGCCACTCACGTTGTACCAAACCAGCCACATTCCCTCTGTATTCCATTGGCGAGAAGTAAGTTCCACTCGAACAGCTTCTTCCAGCGAACCACTGCCCTGTGGAACAGACTCCCAAGGCTATGCTTCCCGGATCACTAAAATCTTAATCTCTTCAATTCTCGGGTTAACCGTTATCTTCTATCCGTATGAGGTAACCCTCTATCTCTTGAGGTAACCCTCTATCTCGAGTGGCTTCCAGGCCTTATACAGGGTGAACCTTACTGTATTTATGGGTAAGAGTGCTCAATGTCAGAGACAGAGCGTGTTTAAATGTAGAAGTAGACATTGGTTCTTCCCCGATCACTACAATTTTAACCTGTTCAAGTCTAGGTTTAACCGTTATACTCCTCTCCTATCCGCATAGCGTCTTAATGTAACCCTCTATCTCGAGTGGCCCTCGGGCCTTGTACAGGGTGAAGCGTACTTAAAAAAAATACCAGTGAATAACTCAATAATTTAAGTTTAAAAGCTATAATTGCCGCGTGACTAAACTAGGATTTCAAGTATTTCATTATTGTGACATGTAAAGTCATTATCAGTTTTTATTGTTTTCTCTTTTAGAATACCACAAGAATATTTGTACATTCTCTGATCCAAGCTTCTGTAAGCCCGGTGGATTTTACAAGAATTTTACAGTACCCGTGTCTGTTATTTTTTTGCACGTTGAAAGAAACTATAGGTGTTTGAAAAAGAAAAAGAAAAAAATCAGGGCGATGCTGCGAATATTTCGTCGTCATAATCCAAGATTATGTATGTTATTCCAGAAATAAACATTACTGACACCACTTTTAATAAATACAGAAATGTCTAGCATAAGGGCCCAATATTTGAGAACCGAACACGAAACAAAGTCATCTATAATGTCTTGAGAGATGAACAGGCTTTACAGTGAGAGCCCAGGTAATAAGTTTGTCTAAAAGTCATAAAACTCAGTTTACCAATGAAAATCGAACTTGCAATGTTCCGGGAAACTAACAGGCTCTACGTCCAACGCCTGCATAAGTATTTTTTGTGTATGTGTGTTTGCTTGCAATCTTATTATAAGCAAATGTAAATGCATATCTCCTTTCAGATGCATATATTCATGCACGCATTTAAACACGTATATATATATATATATATATATATATATATATATATATATATATATATATATATATATATTACGAGAAAAAAAAGGTAATTTTAACATGAGTATAGTCTATTTCCGGCTGGTCTGAACCCAGCCGTCTTTAGTTCTTAAGTGTTTGTTTGGAAGAAGAGATTTGAATTTATTTTCAATGTCTGTTCCGCTCCGCGAGACGCTTTGTTTATGATAAGGGGCTTTTGTTGGTGACTGGTGGGGTGGGGAGGTGAGCGTAAGGTACCTCATTACGGGGTAAATAGTCTGGCAATTTTGTTTTTTTGCCGTAAAAAATATATATGCGCTGTTATAATAAAGACATTGAGATCTCTGTGGATCATTTTTAATATTTGTTATTACAAGGATCCACCTGGATTATATACCAACGGATCTGTTACCTGTACTATATATATATATATATATATATATATATATGTGTGTGTGTGTGTGTGTGTGTGTGTGTACAAATGTTTAGAGGTACAAAATTTATATACAGTTTTAAAAACTAGGAATTTATTGTTTTTAATTTTATTAGTCTCTAAGACCCTTTCAACCAACACCTCATCAGGAGACAATCGTTGGATCATTAATTAATGAAAAGAACAGTAACGAAAATAAAGAGCAAATAAAAGGGGGGGAATCACGCTAAAATAACAAATAAGTGTTTTATTTTTTGCTCTTTATTTTCGTTACTGTTCTTTTCATTAATTAATGATCCAACGATTGTCTCCTGATGAGATGTAAGTTGAAAGGGCCTTAGAGACTAATAAAATTAAAATCAATAAATTCCTAGTTTTAAAACTATATATATATATATATATATATATATATATATATTAATAAATATACAATTATATACATTAGCACGAAACGGAGTTTCATGTACAACGCAATCTTCAAGTTCTGAGTTAAGACTGACTGTTGCATAATTTAAATTTTGTAAAATATATCGGATTATCGCAATGATAAATTTATTATAGTTTTTTTTTTAATTAATATTTAGATGTGTTTTATTTAGATTATTAACTCTTATCTTTATAACTAGAAGTAATTTACATGGATGCTTATGTGTGTTTTTCTGTTTATTTTACATATAAAATTCATAATTTTTTTTTTAGCTAAAAAAAAGCAACAATCCCCGTATAAAATATGCCTTGCCTCATCATTGCAATAACCCGATATATTTAACAAAATTTAAATAATGTAGCGGTCAGTCTTAACTCAGCACCTGAAGATTGCGTTGTGCCTAAAAATTCCGAGTCGTGCTACCGGTGAAAAAAAAGAATGTATATTTATTAATATCTAGCTTATCGTTCTGTTATATATATTTATATCGACATTATTTGATTAGGTTCGATAAAAATAATGTATACATACATGCATACATATATATATATTTATGAATAAAAATGACAATAGTGGACTTTATCAAAGCAATATACGTCGTATTTTGCTTTGATAAAGTCCACATTGGACGAAACGCGTCAGCAATTACCAGTTTTCCTAGTCATTTTTATTCATAAATATTGTCTTCTCTACTGGTTAAATTGGAGAAATTTTCATATATATATATATATTAATTAATGAATATCAAACACTTAAAATACCATAGGCAATAATCTTTATTTCATGAAAGCTATAAAAATAGCCACCAATCTTTCAGACTTACAAACCAAATATTTATCCTTTATATATTTGGCTTGCAGTTCTGAAAGACTGAAGGCTGTTTTTATATCTTTCATGAAATAAAGTTTATTACATATGGTATTTTAAGACTTTGATATTCATTAATTAATGACTTTGCTCAGTCACTGACATAGAGCTCTCCTTGGATCTTTATCCTCTTGGAAATTCCATATGCATTACCACTTTATTTTATTACATATATATATATATATATATATATATATATATATATATATGTATGTATTGTGTGTGTGTGTGTGTGTTCCTCTGTGTATATGTGTATGCGTGCGTTTGTTTTCCAGGCATCCGTGAAAACCTTTCGATTTCCGCGTATTTATGTACTTAGATGCTTCCGTACTTTCTGTTCTTTTTTTTTTTTTTTTTCGGAGATTTTTATCTCCGTTGTTGCTTCCATATTTTACAAATGACTATTTTCTATCGTTTTGACACCGTTGTCCAGTGCTCTTTCAACAGCATCTGTTTGGAAAGTAAATTCTCTGAATTGTCCTTCGATGCGGGTGTCTTATTTGCCGATGAATTCTTCCCCGACGTCAATCTCTTCAAAGGATTCCTTGTCTTCGACATCGTCGTCGTCGTCGTCGTCATCGTCGTCAACCTCCTCGTCGTAACTGTCTGATTTGAGGCTACAGTCGGAGGTCCGGTCTAGGGGTTTTTCCATTTTGTCACTCGGTGAAACTTCCTACGAAAAGAAAAAAAAAATTGTTATAGTTTTAAAATGAAAACGATAAAAAAAGGGAGAGAGGAAGAGTGAAGGAAAGGTAAAGGGAGAGAGAAAAAAAAGAAGAGAAGTACAGAAAAAGAAGGGAGGACAAAAAAGATAGAAGGGATAAAGACGAGAAAGAAGAGAAGGAAGGAAAGAGAAGAGAGAGGGAAAGGAATATGAAAAAAAAAGCAGAAAAAGGGCGGAGAGAGATAGGTTGCGAGAAAGAAAGAAAGAAAGAAAGAAAGAAAGAAAGAAAGAAAGAAAGAAAAGGAACAGAGGGTGGAAAGACGGAGATTATAACGAGAAAGAAAAGAAAAGGAAGAAAGAAAGAAAGAGAAGGAACAGAGGGTGGAAAGACGGAGATTATAACGAGAAAGAAAAGAAAGAAAGAAAGAAAGAAAGAAAGAAAGAAAGAAAGAAAGAAAGAAAGAAAAGGAACAGAGGGTGGAAAGACGGAGATTATAACGAGAAAGAAAAGAAGGAAGGGATGGCTGAGAGAGAGGGGGATAACGAAAAAGGAGAGAATAAAGAAATAAAGAGAAGGAATAGGTGGTAGAGAGAAGGTTGGATAGTGAGAAAGAAGAACAATAAAGATTAGGATATTAGTTAGTGAGGGGGAGGCATATCCAGTAAAGATCACGAACAATGGTTTTTGAAACTGACTTTCCAACCTTTTCCCGATACGAGACAATTAAAGAAGGTATGTCTGGCATAGGGCTACAGTAGTTGAGCGCTCAGTGAAGAGAAGACTCATTACAAGAACAATCAGTCTTAGGTAAACAACAACAGTGGCACAAAGACTTCTATAGATAGATAGACATCAACAGATAGATAGATAGATAGATAGATAGATAGATAGATAGATAGATATGGACAGACCAAGATAGATAGATAGATAGATGATAGATAGATAGATAGATAGATATCAACAGATAGATAAGGAACAGATTTAGATATGAATATAGATATCAACAGAGATAGATACATATATATTAACAGATACAAATAGATAGATATGAACAGACTGACATAGATAGATAGATAAAGAACAGACCGTGATAGATAGATAGACAGATAGATAGATAGATAGATAAGGTTTAAATAGCAATGAAGATAGGATAACATGAATAATGTAAATAATGCATGATCATAATAACTCATCTCAACAAAAGAATATGGCAATGAAGATGAGGATAACAGTCCGAATAATGTAAATAATGCAAGTAATCATAATACCTCAACAGAGATACAGGCCAAAAACGTTGTGAATATGGCAATGAAGATGAGGATAGCCAACTGAATAATGTAAACTGCAAGTAATCATAATAGATCAGACATAGAGGCCAAAACGTACAGAATATGGCAATGAAGATAGGATAGTCTGAATGTAAAACAGACAGAGATATAGAGGCCAAACGTTGTGAATATAGATAGTCTGAATAATGTAAACCGCAAGATAGATCTCAGAGATATAGAGGCCAAACGTTGTGAATATGGCAATGAAGATGAGGATAACAGTCTGAATAATGTAAATAATGTAAGAATCATAATACCTCATCTCAGAGATATAGAGGCCAAAACGTTGTGAATATGGCAATGAAGATGAGGATAATAGTCCGAATAATGTAAATAATGGTAATAACACCTCATCTCAGAGATATAGAGGCCAAAACGTTGTGAATATAATGAAGATGAGGATAACAGTCGAATAATACCTCATCATCTCAGAGATATAGAGGCCAAAACCAATGAAGATGAGGAATGAGTCCGAATAATGTTGTAAGTAATCAATGCCTCATCTCAGAGATATAGAGGCCAAAACGTTGTGAATATGGCAATGAAGATGAGGATAACAGTCCGAATAATGTAAATAATGCAAGTAATCATAATACCTCATCTCAGAGATATAGAGGCCAAAACGTTGTGAATATGGCAATGAAGATGAGGATAACAGTTGAATTTAAATAATTAATCAAATACATCATCTTGTTATTGATTTTTTTTAAATTTAAATAATTGTTTTAAATAGTTTACTGTACAATTTGCACATTGACAGATATTTCAAAAGCACAATAAAGCGTTGCATGCTGTCCACTATATTAAAAGTAATTGTTTTTGTTCATGAGATGATTGTTCGATTCTGCCAATAATTGCTTCTGCATCCAATTCATTTTATAAATCCGTTTCAATGAATATTAATATGTAGGATTCCAAATTATCTTCAGACAGCTAATTCCTTAATCTTGTCTTTATGAGGTCTAGCTTAGAAAATGTCTTCTCACATTGGATTTGAGTAACTGATAGTGTGCAGATGACTTTATAAAGTTCTTATTTGTTTTATTACTAAACCAATTGTCTGTGTTTGTTTATTTATTGAATTTTGTATTTGATATAGAGAGCCCACTCTATCAGGGACCTGCTTGCCATAGGGTCCGCTGGCAGATTGGCCTGAACGCCACTGTAATACAGTTAATAACTCTATTATGTCAGTTTTGTTAACCTTTGAGCGTGCCAATGGATTATAATATATCTATCAGAGGGCATATTTTCGTTACTAAAAAGTTTCGAGTGCGTAGGCCGGTAGACTCAATAAATACTGTTTCAAATTAAAAAACAAACAAAGCGTCTACTCAAATAGCTCTAGTCTGTCAGTTTTGTTACGCTTTGTTAAACATTAACACAATTGTGAAAAAATGTGTATTTCTTAGTAGATCCGGTGTACAAAGGTAAATAAAGAATGAATTGACTTTTTTGTTTATTTCTTTTAAATAGTTTAAATAGTTGATATTTTGGAATAGTTTACTGTACAATTTGCATATTAACAGATCGTTCAAAAGCACAACGGAGTATTGCATGCAGTCCACTGTATTAAGAGTAATTGTGCCAGAGAAAAGCGATAATAACAACAAAAATTACAATATGAGCTCTAGTAAAAACATGTAATGATAACAGCAAAAACTGCAATATGAGCATTGGTAAAAAATGATTTCTGAAGACATTAGTTTATAATACCCAGAAATTCGGTTTCCAGAATACAGATATCCCCAATGACACATGGCACAGTGGATAAAGGCGTTAGTTAGATCCAATGACAGAATCCTGTGAGTTCAATACCTGGTTAAGGCGGTGGAGAACTTGGAGAGGGAATTAAGCAGGAGATGAGACATGGCACATGGAACTAGAACAGTGTATCCCAGTGAGCGAAAAAAAGGGTTCAGTTCGATATTCCAACCACCTGAAGAAGGCCAGGGCGTACTGCGGCCGAAACATGAGCAAAAATGAGGACAATAGTTCGAATAATGTAAATAGTGTACATAATACCTCATCTCAGAAATATAGGCAGGTAATTGTTTTTGTTCGTTAGATGATTGTTCGAATCTGCCACTAATTGCTTCTGCGTCCAATTCATCTAACAGTTGGATAACAACTTGTAGAATTTCAAATTCTCCTCTGAAAGCGAATTCCTTAACGATGTCTTTACGATCTTTTGCTTAGAAAATGTCTTAATCAATTCACTCCAAGCAAGGCGATAATGCCACTAAGACGCAAGCGGTTACTGGGAGTAACCGTTGCCCCTCTTTTTTGATAAACCTCCACTCATGTCAAAAACCGGGGAGGAGTTTGAACAGGGCGATAGGCAAACCTATCTACTCCTATTAAAAACTTTCAATTAAGATAAAAAAAAAACTTTTTTTCTTACTTGTTTCAAACGTCTCCATTTGGCTCTTCTGTTTTGAAACCACGTTTTCACCTGTTAAAGACAAAAAAAAAGTCTTTAGGGACACACGAACGTAAAATTACTCACATAAAGTCGAAATCGACAAAAGGAAAGGAGAAATAATATATATATATAGATAGATAGATAGATAGATAGGTGTATATATATGCATAGGTGTATATAGTGATATGGATATATATATGTATATATATGTATGTATGTGCCTTTCATGCGTACATACATGTATGTATATGTATGTAAATATGTAGAAAATGGAGATGTATTTGATATATTTATATGTATATATGTCTGGATATCTTAATAATTATTTTATTTAAATCTCTCGGGTAATTTAATTTAAATCTCTTGGGGAATTATATTAGAAATTTTTACTATTGTACAATAAATTCTAACTCTTTCGCTGAGTTTTGAATATTTTAAAAATTTCCTTAACCAAACAATATTTTTGAGAGTTTATAAAAGTTAAAGTTAAATAGAATATTTTAAGATATTTTTATGTTTATACGTTCTTTTTTATAGATACAAATATTTAAGTAAATGCTCTGTTTATAATAAACAGTATTAAACAACATTTACCGGCCTGAATGTCCGAGAAATTTTCATAGAAAATATTCGTCCTCCGACAGGAATCGAACCTGCATCCTATACATATTGCCTGACGTGCCTTTAACCGTTTCGGCCACAGAGGAGCGTTCGGTTAGCAAGGTCGATTTTACATTTGGATACGCCATGAGCAGATATGAATGTACGTGAGAGAGTCATGGAAGATAGTTGTTTAAAGACAGTAAAATCGATCTTGCTAACCGAACGCTCCTCTGTGGCCCAATCGGTTAAAGGCACGTCAGGCTATATGACGGTCCCGTATAGGATACAGGTTCGATTCCTGTCGGAGGACGAATATTTTCTATGAAAATTTCTCGGACATTCAGGCCGATAAATGTTGTTTAATACTGTTTATTATAAGCAGTGCATTCACTTAAATATTTGTATCTATGAAAAGAACGTATAAACATAAAAATGTCTTAAAATAATTGTCGGGGTTTGTCCATTTCATAATGTGTAAATAGAATATGTATACGTCAGATTCTTATCCAGTAAGTGACATAGACAGTGTTTCTTAACTCTCATTGATTTAACAAGATTTTTATTCAACCTCTAAACCAGACCCCCAATGAATTGTCCAATATGGCCTCATACCCACTTCATTTGACTGTCGATATAATTATCATCAATCCTATTATTTGCCAGTATGTCTTCCAAATATTTCAATAGCTTGAATTTACTGTACTTTAGATATGGATTACTAGGAATAGAACATGAAAAAAAAAAAACTATAAGTATTGATAACTTTATTATATTTTTTTACTGAAAGCAAAGTAAAGTTATAATTCCGTTTTATTACACAAGAAAAAGGAAGAGAACATAAACGTGCAAATTTTTTTAGTATCTTGACTACATAAAACTGACTTTTACCATACCCCCAGCATTTGGTTCCCATACCCCCAAGGGGTATGTATGGATACCCCCAGTTCAGAAACCCTGTTCTAAACACTTGGCTATACACTATATGTCATCACATAACAAACCAATCAAAATGCAAGAATTGATATTGGATAAATATTAATTAATTTTCCTTGTCTGTCAAATTCAATGAAACTATGTATAAAGGAAAGATTGATATATATATATATATATATATATAGTGTAACCCGGATATAAGAGACCCGGATATAAGAGAAACCCGGATATAAGAGAGATTTTCTCTGGTCCCAAATTAGAGCCTGTGTTAATGTAAATAAAATAGACCAAACCCGGATATATCAGAAACCCGAATATAAGAGAAACTCGGATATAAGAGACTTCTCCGGTCCGACAACCCTCTTATATCTGGGTTACACTGTATATATATATATATGTTATATTTGGCGTGAATTCGTTTCAAACATCCTCGTTGCCACCGTTATATTCCGTGCTAAGGTAATAAATACTTAACACCAGGTGGATACTAGAAGAAAAGTTTATTATACACAACAAGTACAATATGAAATACGGTACAGTTATACACAGAGGTCAATCTAGTAGTGAGTGCCACTAATTGGAAGGTCAGACGTGCTTGCATCATTTCATTCTCACTTTCTTCTCTCTCCTCGAGTCTCTCGTAGACAGTGGACTTTATAGGTACTTACTACCTATAGTGTAATCATTCATTTACTAATCTAGTAAGATATTTGCTGTTATTTTTGCGCAATCAAAGCATAGAATCGTGGTACAGTTACTGACAAAGCTACTCGCATGTCATCTGACACAAAAAGTCGATTTCTCCATTTTGATTCCAGATTTAATAATGCGGAGAATCCTGTTTCACAGAGATACGTAGTTGTTAAGGGGACCAAAATATGCATTGTCCTCATTGTTAAACTTGGGTAAGCAGAGATTTGTTCACACCAAAACTGCTTGACATCCATTCCAGCCCTTTCGAAATCAGCTTTCTTTCTTGGGTCCTCTTGGAATTCAATGAAATTATCCTTTGATAAATCGTTATCACTCATTCTCGATATATCAAATGTAAAAGGGTTTTGTATCCAAATCGAATCCATGCTAAGATCATCAATACCTGAAAAGTAACCCTCAAAATTTATACTTAGAACTTCTAAATGAATCTTGACTTCTTGAATTATTTCTACAGGTAGTGCTTTAACATTTCCAATAAGGATATTGTAACTATCTACCCAGAAATCGAGTCCCATACCCCACAACATTTGGTTCTCATACCCACAAGGGGTATGGATACCCCCGGTTAAGAACACCTGCTCTAAATCAAGCACTGTGTAGCGTATATCATATTAAATAGGCCAACTCAAACCTTAAAGTCTGCTGAGAATAAATTCTCGGGTCTTCTTCCTTCTCACCCCCTACGCCACCATTACGTGTTCATAATTTTGAATCTTTCCTTCTCTTTTTCTCTCTCCCCCTCTCCCTCAATACAATATCTGTATCTCTTGAATTTAACCTGGAGTAAATTTTCCCATTTATATTTGGTTTGCAAGTCTGGAAGACTGAAGGTTATTTCTATAGCTTTCATGAAATAAAGATTATTACATATGGTATTTTAAGTATTTGATATTCATTAATATATATATATATATATATATATATATATATATATATATATATATATATATATATATATATATTAATATATATATATATATATATATATTGTCATCCACAGACAGATTGTTTCGGTGTATCACAGCACATTAGTGTGCCTAGACGTCCGGTTGCCTCTAAGATCGAAACCCAACTGAATTGGCATCAGTCGGGGATTCTACCACTGGTGCACGGCAGGCATGCAGGTGAATTTAAGCGTATTTATTTTTAGATAAACACAAAGTGACTGAGAGAACTCGATTCGATTTGCCGAAGAGTCTTGCATTATTAGCCGTAATAGTCACTGTTTACAACCCCACACTTCCTCCCCAGAGAGCTCAACTGAAATAAAATTTTCAGGAGAATATAAGGAAGAAAGTGATTATCAGTGGTTAGGAATGGATGCAAGCATTACTGATAGAATAGGGCTATTATATGTATAATGGAAATGCATTTCTAATGATTTTACTATAGGAATGCATTGCAAATGAGGAAGAAAGGGATTGTCAGTGGTCAGGAATGAATGCAAGCATTACTGATAGAATAGGGCTATTATATGTATAATGGAAATGCATTGCTAATGATTTTACTATAGGAATGCATTGTAAATGAGGAAGAAAGGGATTGTCAGTGGTCAGGAATGAATGCAAGCATTACTGATAGAATAGGGCTATTATATGTATAATGTAAATGCATTGCTAATGATTTTACTATAGAAATGCATTGCAAATGAGGAAGAAAGGGATTGTCAGTGGTCAGGAATGAATGCAAGCATTACTGATAGAATAGGGATATTATATGTATAATGTAAATGCATTGATAATGATTTTACTATAGGAATGCATTGCAAATGAGGAAGAAACGGATTGTCACTGGTCAGGAATGAATACAAGCATTACTGATAGAATAGGGCTATATATATATAAATTCTATAAATAAATAGGGCTATATATATATAAATTGCTAGGTGTGATGAAAGCTGAATGTATTTTCCCAAAGAAAACGAATCCAGATGTAGAAAAAGAAAAAAGCGAAAAAAGATCAAAATGTTGATAGCAGGCGCTTGTATCTCTATGCACACAATCTCGGCTCAACGGGTCTGATGCGGTCAGTGATTAGTCGTGACTTGCTGAATTATCTATTTGAGCCAGTCACACATACAAGGATCAAATAGGATTATCTACAAGGGGCGTGGACCAACAATTCGCTTGTCGTCTTTTTTTTTATGTAAACGGCTTGGAATTTCAAATCACATAACCGCATATAAAAACACACATACATACCTATCTATTACTGCAAACATATATACATATATGCACAAATACACACAAGATACACACACACACACACACATATATATATATAGTTTTTCAATCATTTACTGACCACTTCAAATCCTCTTTTCGCTTTATTTGCAATTGAGTGAATGATTACTTATAAATTAATATTATATATATATATATATATATATATTATTTCAGTAATGCTTGCATCCATTCCTGACCACTGACAATCCCTTTCTTCCTCATTTACAATGCATTCCTATAGTAAAATCATTAGCAATGCATTTCCATTATACATATAATAGCCCTATTCTATCAGTAATGCTTGCATTCATTCCTGACCACTGACAATCCCTTTCTTCCTCATTTGCAATGCATTCCTATAGTAAAATCATTAGCAAAATGCATTTACATTATACATATAATAGCCCTATTCTATCAGTAATGCTTGCATTCATTCCTGACCTCTGACAATCCCTTTCTTCCTCATTTGCAATGCATTCCTATTTTAAAATCATTAGCAATGCATATATACTATAAATATAATATCTCAATTCAATCAATATTGCTAGCATTCATTCTACTTAAAATTCGATCAAATGATAGGATAAGGAACAAAAAGGAAATGTTTATAAATGTAACATGTTTCGCTTTTATTTAAGCTTCATTAGAAATTAGTTTGAAAAGGAATTATGGAACAAAGTTCTAGTATTGTTAGTCCTGTGTTTGTTTTTCATTGGTCAGGCAGACCTCATGTGACTTTTTCTTGTGGTATTAATGTATGTGTGTGTTTGTGCGCGCGTGTGTGTAAGTTTGGACTCTAGTGATCATTTTTGTGTCAGTCTACTAGTGTCCGTGTGTAAAATTCTTGAATATGGTAGTGGCATGTCTCTGTGTTTTCTGTATCCTGTTTCTAATTGTTCTAGCGGGATTTGGGTAATAATGTGTGTACCTCTAGTGGCCAGTTTTGTTTCTGTCTGGTAATGTCTGCATGTTGATTGGCGGATGTTTGACATGTGACCAAAAGACCCAGGCTATATCGGACGCAGGTATGCGGATCATATATTCTTCAATTATGATTTTCATAAAAGTTGTTGGTATGAAAAAATGTGTTTGGCTTTTCTATCGACAGAAAAATATTTATTAATATTCCTTCTAAATATTTTCTTTGTAGTAAAGCATGTTCATTTCCGATGAGGGTGGCGTTTTTTAAATCGAATTTATGGCCTGTTTTACTTCTCTGTATTACGAGAAAGTTTAGTGGGTTGTCCGAAAGTAAGTCTCTCTTATGTTCGAAGATGCGGCCTTTTAGGTTTCGGGAAGTTTCGCCTATATAGCTCTTCTCGCGTTGTTAAACGTTTATAAACGTTTTCCATTTGTTTCCTTATCCTATCATTCATATATATATATATATATATATATATATATATATATATATATATATATAAATGAAATGAGAACGAATCAAATATAAATTCAAACGTTCACAACATTACTTTAAATATAGGCACAATACTATAGTAGAGCGAAATTTTTATTATATGATATTACATTCGAACATATGTAAAACTGCTACATAATGCAATCATGTTTCGATGCGTATGATCGCATCTCACCAGATTGGTATGCATCGAAACATGAATGCATTTATGTAGTAGTTTTACATATGTTCCAATGTAATATCATATAATATATATATATATATATATATATATATATATATATATATATATATATAATTTAAAGAAAACCAGACAATTTTAAGGTTCCATAAGGTTATAATTTATTTCCCCAGGGATCTTTTCATCCTCCTGCTATGGATAATCCATCCATACGGATTACCAAGATTTTCTATATATATATATATATATATATATATATATATATATATATATATATATATATTGACCGACAGACAGGGAGAATAGAGTTTGGTACTATATGTGGGTTCTACTGCTACTCTTGGAATATATTCCTCGCAGGAGAGATAACAATATAAGAAGAAACGATAAAAATAGAATTGTTTGGATATTTTAAATATACGGTTCGTAAAATAATTGCCCCTAACGCTATCATTTGAGATTTCCTCTAGACAAGTATTGTATACAAACACAAGAAGAAAGACTAAACAATTTTCACTGAATTCTTTTTTCCGTATCGCGTCACTATTTTCTGTAAAGTCTCTGAATTGACAGCCCGAAAAACGAAAGCTAAACGGCAGACGACATTTATAAATCGGTAGTCATTAGGAAAAATGGTGACGAGCGAATATATTTTAGTTATATTGATACAGCTTAAACGAAACGGAATCCATTAAAACTCTTCAGCAACTGTTTATGTGTCAAACTTAAAACTGCCGACCAAGTCGAAGAAACAGGAAATATTGAGTCACCAATTCCGTCTCAGCTTACGGTGACAAACGGGTTCTTCGTGATCGATGGAGGGTCTGGCTTTGTGGAACCAAATCCGGCTACACGTCCGGCATATTGAACATGAATTGAAATGGTGGAATTGAGAGGCTTGCGAAGTGAAGAAGCCACTTTATTAATTGCTATAATTAATCTACAAAATGTTATCAATATTGTTTTTCACCGGCCATTAAAATTACACTGAATGTGCTAGGCTCAATTCGACATTTACCATGTGGAACAGATGCAACTTGAAGGACTTCCTGCATGCATTCTTTTTCAGGACGTGGACGATCATGCCTCTCCACAATTTCCTGATACTTTGTAGCTCTTTGTAAGGTTTGTCTTTTTGTTATTTATCCTAACCCTATCCCGTCACCCATTTACACAAATTCATTCATTCATTCTTCTTCTTCTTCTTCTTCTTCTTCTTCTTCTTTGTACCATAGCCCTTCAGGACGTGGGCGATCATGGCTCTCCACAATTTCCTATCCTTTGTATCTCTTTGTAAGGTTTGTCTTTTTGCTATCTCTCCTGAACCATATTCTGTCATCATTTTACACAAACTCATTCTTCTTCTTCTTTTTCTTCTTCTTCTTCTTCTTCTTCTTCTGCTTCTTTTTGAAATGACCCTTCAGGACGTTGGCGATTATGGCTCTCTACAATTTCCTGTCCTTTGTAGCTCTTAATAAACTTAGTCTTTTTGTTACGTGTTATTGTCATGATCTACAAACTATATATCTGAAAAACTTACCTTTATCCTGATTGTATACAATTATTTAAAAAATATCTGTAGTTGAAGCCATAAAATTGTGTACAAAATATTTAGATTTCGGCTTTAAATAACCTATAGAGCAGCGTTTCTCAACCGGGGTCAAAAGGTCACCAAGACTTCCCCAAGAACAGGTGAGATAAGCTAATGTACTTTTGACTTTTTGTTTAATTTCATATACGTAATTTTACTAAACACACACAATATATTCTTGGTTATTGTAATATTGTAATATAGACATGTTATTAAAAAATCTAACAGTCATTGGGAAAATATTTAGTGATGTCCTTACGGCGCCAGTGTGTGTGAATGAAAACTCCACGATGAAGTTTTATAAATGAACAGTGTGAATTTTCTTTAGCACTACCGAAAAAGTTGACTAAGAATTATTAATTTTTCCTTAAACCAGTTATTCAAAAATATATGCTATCATATTTACCACGTGAACTACAATGAAAATAAAATGAGAAAGATATGGTATAACAGAACACAACAAATAGATGATGATCCATAACTTAGATCTTTAATATGATAAGAAGATCCAATACAGAACACAACAAATAGATGATGATCCATGACTTAGATCTTTAATATGTGAAGAAGATCCATTACGGAACACAACAAATAGATGATGATCCATGACTTAGATCTTTAATATGGTAAGAAGATCCATTACGGAACACAACAAATAGACGATGATCCATGACTTAGATCTTTAATATGGGAAGAAGATCCATTACGGAACACAACAAATAGATGATGATCCATGACTTAGATCTTTAATATGGTAAGAAGATCCATTATGGAACACAACAAATAGATGATGATCCATCACTTAGATCTTTAATATGGTAAGATGATCCATTACGGAACACAACAAATAGATGATGATCCATCACTTAGATCTTTAATATGGTACGATGATCCATTACGGAACACAACATATAGACGATGATCCATGACTTAGATCTTTAATATGGTAAGAAGATCCATTACAGAACACAACAAATAGACGATGATCCATGACTTAGAATTTTTCAAAAATCTAGTTGATTTAGAATTCGTGTTTGAAAGAATTTGAAACTTACCTGCCGCTCTGTAAGATGCAGCAATTTCGCGAGTCGTTTTCTCTCTGGAGGAGAAAGATACTTTTGCGTTTCAAATTTCTTTTCCAATTCCACTGTTTGATCATTTGAGAAACGTACCTGGCCGCCTTTGCGCTTGTGCAATGGACGTTGGACAAAGTGGTTCCACATTAAAGGAGTTTTAGGTGAAACTGAAATAAATAAAAAAAAAACCGGTGTGACCTTTCAGAAAATTACCTAATAACGATAGATTATATATCTACAAGTTGCATTATTATTATTATAATTATTTTTATTTTCTTTGATTTCTGGCGTTTACACATTTCTTTCCGGGTACCGCCCAGGGACCTAAGGTTAGAAATGGCATCATGACACTTTCCACTGACAAAAAAAAAAAAAAAAAAAATTACATAGATAAAGCCCTTCGTAAGGTGTGGGCTGTACTTGTCAGAACAATTTTTTGTATCTCCTTGAGGCATGGACTTCCAGGAATCCCTTCAATTAGTCTACTGCGGTCTTTTCCAACCAGTCCTAGGGCTCCAACTACAACAGGGATTGTTGATGTTCCCATATACCACATTTTCGAGATTTCTATTTCAAGGTCCTTGTATTTTGACAGCTTTTTGAATATCTTCAAAGATACATTGCAGTCAGCAGGGACTGCCATATCAATAAGGAGGCATCGTTTTTGTTTGTGGTCTTTAATAACAATATCTGGGCGGTTGGCCTTGATTGTTCTGTCAGTGTGTATTGTGTAGTCCCATAGAATTGTAACAGGTCCTATCTCCGTAACCGGGACTGGGTGGTGTTCATACCAGTTTCTTTCAGTTTCCTTCCCGTAGAAGTTGCAGTTTTTCCAGTGCAGATATTGGCCAACTCTGTCATATTATTATTATTATTATTATTATTATTATTATTTGAAGCGACAAGGCATATCTGATGCAAGAAATTATTTTTATTATTATAATCGGATGGAAGTTGCCAACATCTTTATTTTTACACTCGTTTTTAACACTGAATACACAATATTATACCACTTTTCACTCAAAATAAAATGAAAGTAAATACTAAGAAAAAATACTAAGAAAAAAATGATAATGACTTCATCTAATCAAAAGACTTAAGTAAATACTTGTCAAAAATTGGTAATAATTGCAGACAATGTTTTATTTAATGGAATATGAAGATGAAAGTAAATACGAGCAAAAATTTAATAATAATAGTTGACAATGCTTCATCTAATAAAACATGGAGATGAAAGTAAATACTAGTCAAAAAGTAATATAAGCTGACGACACTTCATGTAATAAAAACAGAACGAAAGTAAATACTAGCCAAAAATTAATACGGGCTTCATCTAATAAAAAATAAAGATGAAAAAAAAAAATACTAGTCACAAATCAACAATAATGACATACAATGCTTCATTTAATAAAGAATAAAAATGAAAGTAAATACTAGTAAACAATTAATAATAATGGCTGACAATACTTCATCTTTTAAAGAATGAAAAGATTTGGTAGGAGTAAGGGAGTGCAAACGTTGCCCGTACGGTGCATTGTCCCAAAGGCATTCGAGCAATTCTTTAGCCATTTTCAATGGGGGGGGGGTAGGTGGTATTAGATTCTTTTCATTGTTGACTGTTTCAATGTTTCGGGCAATGGTCAATAAGAATGATTTTTGCACTCCCATAATCCCACCAAACTAAATAAAAACATTCATCAAATTTTCTTTATCTACCATATTCAACGAAACATGTTTATAACAAATGCTACTGCCTATATATATATATATATATATATATATATACAATATATATATTATATATATATGCTATATATATATATATATATATATATATATATATATATATATATATATATATATATATATATATATATATATATATATATATATATATAAAGAGAGCTCGATGTATTTAGTTTTTAAAGCAACAAAACAAATAAAACACACACACACACACATATATATATATATATAGTATATATATATAATATATATATTATATATATATATATATATATATATATATATATATATATATATATATATAAAGAGAGCTCGATGTATTTAGTTTTTAAAGCAACAAAACAAATAAACACACACACACACATATATATATGTATATATATATATATATATATATATATCGCTGCTTATTTTAATCATAATTCTCACTGTTACAGTGCATTTATTGCCCTCATTTAATTGTAATATAGAGTAAATATTCGTGAATATGAAAGGATTATGATCAAAATAAGCGGACATAATGTTTGTAATTTATTCAATCAGACATGTCAGAAAGAGAATTTGCTGCCTAAATACACTATATATATATATATATATATATATATATATATATATATATATATATATATATATTAAAAAAAAAGATGGGGGTGCCGCAAACGTTTTTGGTTGTAATGTGGATTTATTGAGAAAAAAAATATTATACTTTTTTTTACATAATTTCAACGTGTTTCTGGTCTGGTCTCACACAAACAGAATGAAATCGAGAATTTTACACATTGAATTGAAAAATAATTAATTTTTTTTCATGTTGGCAAAAATTCGGATTGCCAACACTAAAAGAATGTCTCATATCAGAATATTCCAAATTGAACATGAAAAAAATTAAAACAAATTATAAAATTTTTTCAAATAAATCCACATTACAACCAAAAACGTTTGAAATTATGTAAAACAAAGTATAATATTTTTTCTTTTAATATACATACTTTTTCATTTTTTCTCGTTGGAACCACTACAACATATTTCTTTTTATATATATATATATATAAAGATGATAAAGTGTGTGTGTGTGTGTGTGTGTGTGTGTAAGTGTGTGTATATATATATATATATATATATATATAGTCTTTCAATTACAGAACGTTGTTCCCAATTTCTATTGTGGTCACTTCAGTCTTGTGTCTATTGCGTTTCAGATCGTTTTAGATTCTTATAGTTTCGCCACAAAGAATATTGCCTCGTTCTGACATCAGTTCTCCGTCTTTGTCTCAACTCCGAAGAAACCTTCAAACGTTAAACGCAAAAGGAAATTGCCAATCTATTACGACATCACTTCCTGCTAGAGGCTGCTTTGGGTAAAGCATTAATTGTGTCAACGCATTCGACCTTCCTGGGTTTGCTTTTATTGCGCAGGAAACCTTTCGAATGATTAACGCCTTGCCTGTTACAAGGTGCGGACAAATCATCCCAGCGTTTCTCATTTTTTTTTAAAACCTGGAGACTGAATACAGACTAGAATACCATTGAAAGGTATGAATCTATTTCTTCTCCTCTTTGCTATGGGTTGAATAGCAGGGTCTACTAGACTCTCCAGCCGTGGTTGGCAACCAGACTAGGAGGACAACTCTGATTTCAAAACTCTACGTGGACCTGGCTGGGCACATACTTGAAATGCAACTAAGGTCCGAAGAGTTGCAGTATAAACCAGAGGTTGACTCTTTGGAAGCTGAAGGGACAGAAATGGACAGGGTAGATGAGAATGCTCGTAAGCCTTGTTAAAGATTAGAAATCACATTGATTTACAGTTTGCTAGAACATTAATGATGACCTCTCATTTCGTCTGTTTAAAATAAAAAGGGAATAATTTAATAAAATAAATATTTCAAATAATATAAAAAATAAAGTAAACTTAGCAAAAATTCAGAATAACTCCCTGGACAGAATAAATGCATATGAATAAAAACACTCGGAATCAGAATGTTAGAATAACAGACTAAAAATAATTCAAAATTAAAATAAAGAAAATTAGAATAAAAATTGTTAAAAAAAAAGTGCATCTAAACCAGAATAAAGAACAAGAATAACAGAATGAGAATAAAAATCACAATGCAATTAGAATAAAAATATTTAAAGAAGGCGAAAATCAGAATAATAGAATAAGAATAAGAGAATGAGAATAAAAAAAGAAAAAACAATAAAATTAGGATAAAATGGTTGGCAATAAATATCAGGAAGACTAGAATAATAGAACTAAAAAGCAAAATGAGAATAAAAAATACGAATAACGAAATTTGGTATACCATTAGTTAAAAAGAAAAAAACAATAGAATAATAGAATATGAATAACAGAATGAGAATAAAAATCAGACTACAAAAGTAGAAAATAATAGTTAAAACAGAATAGTAAGAATAGAATGAGAATAAAATCTAAGAGCACCGAAATTAGAATAAAAAATATTAAAAGCAAAGAAGAAAATAGAACAAGGATAAAAGAATAATAATAATAAAAAAAAAACAGAATAAGAGAATAATAGAATGAGGAAATAAAAGCAAGAGATTACGAACAAGTAAAAGAAATTTGAACGCCTGAATATAACTTATGAAGATGCAAGAAAGAGAGAAGTACAGACCCCAGTGACCTCTCCACGTTGCCCACTTGACCGCTCCCGGCGACTGCACGTACAACCAGTGGCACGTCTTGTTATTTTAGCGTATTTCCTTCTTCAAAGGGTGTCACAAAGTGTGCCTTTAGTCATTTTTATGACAAACCTTGAATGCATGTCGGGTGGGCAGAACAAAAAAAAGAAAGCTCCTTAAATCTTGATTTTTAAAGAAAAGTCATGTCTAAAAACTCCTATAGTCTTTTAAAAGATTGAATTTTAACAAAGCCATATCTGGACTGGGGATCCTACTACATATCACGATATTCTGGTGAAAATTCAAAGATGGATCTGTAATATAATCAATCCTGACCTTTTCGTTATGACCCATGTATTGTACGAGTGATTCTTTAAATCAAGACATGTTGAATCGAGGTTTAACCTTAAAAGAAGTGTCTGTAATGTAATCGATCCTGACCTGGTGTCTCGCCTTGAATCAATTTCTCACCGATATGACGTAGGTTCCCTCTGTCTTTTCTACAAATATTTTCATGGCAATCGTTCTGACGAGCTTTTCATTTTTAAAGGCAGTCTTCTACTATAAAAAGAAACCCTATTTGGACTCTGTGTGTGTAAGTGTGTGTGCATATATATATATATATATATATATATATATATATATATATATATATATATATATATAGTCTTTCAATTACGCCACGTTGTTCTCAATTTCTATTGTGTTCACTTCAGATTTGTGTATATTGCGTTTCAGATCGTTTTAAATTCTTATAGTTT